ATGGCATCTATATTTTACAGCTATACTCCTAAAGATGTTCGATCTCTTGCTTATGAGTGTGCTCTTCAATACAAAATCAAAATACCAGGTTCTTGGACAGTAAATAAGATGGCTCGTAAAGAATGGATGACTAGTTTTTTAAAAAGAAATCCTCAATTATCTATAAGGAAACCTGAAGCAACTAGCCTTGGTAGGGCGACATCATTAAACGCTGCAAATGTAAAAGTATTTTTTGATAAGCTAGGTGAAGTTATGGATATATACAAATTCAGTGCTTCACAAATATGGAATGTTGACGAAACTAGTGTATCTACAGTTGTAAAACCTAGTAAAATTGTGGCTGCAAAGGGCAAGAGAAATGTTGGTGCTATGACATCTGGGGAAAGAGGCACTAATGTCACAATGGTAACCGCTGTATCTGGCTCAGGAAATACAGTACCTCCAATGTATGTGTTCTCTTGCAAAAATTACAAAGATTATTTTATTAATAATGGTCCACCGGACTGTATTGGGGTAGGTAATGGAAGTGGCTGGGTTACAGATATTGAATTTAAAAATTTTATGCAGCATTTGATTAGGCATGTGAAGCCTTCAAATGAATACAAAATTCTGTTAATTTTGGACAATCACTCTTCTCACTTGCATTTTGAAACACTAAACTTAGCAAAGGAGAATGGAATAGTGATGTTGTCTTTCCCACCACACTGCAGCCATAAGCTGCAGTGTGGTGGGAAAAAATTGTATCTGATTCTTTGCCGTTAGCTATAACGTGTACTAACATTACAAAGTGTTTTCAAAAAACTATTGTATACCCGTACAATGCAACCATTTTTGCTGATGATTTTTTACCATCATTTGTCACAGATCATATAGAACCAGCAAATCTTGTTTCTGAGCTATCACACGTAGCTCATTCTGAAGTATGTTTAACATCATCTTCAGGTCAATCTGTCAAAACTAGTATTAATAAAGAGACAATGTTACTTATTTCTGAAACTCCTAAAGCATTTTCTCCAGAAACAGTGCGACCTTACCAAAAAGCAGCACCAAGAAAGATACATTTGACAAGATGAAGAAAAAGGAAAGCTACTATTCTAACAGATACTCTAGAAAGAATTATATTAAAACAGCAGCAAACTAAGAAACCAAAAAAAGTTGAGAAACAAAAAAAATTATCTACCTGTCAATTCCTTTCAAATATTAATAAAAAGTGTGGTAATAAAGAGACTCAGTTACATAGTATATTTAAGAAACAAACAAACAAAAAAACTGAGAAGAAAGAAATTTTAAAGAAACCAAAAAAAAGTTCTGCCAGTCAATCCTTTGCAGATCATGGTAATAAGGAGACTTTGCTGCTTAGTATATTAAAAAAAGTTAAAAAACAATCAAACAAAAAAACTAAGATGACAAAAAAATTAAAGACAAGCGCAGAACATGGTTATGCTTGTCTTGTATGTTGGGAAACTTATTCTGAAAGTCTACCAGAAGAAAGTTGAATCTAGTGTCAAGGTTGCAATCAATGGTCTCATTCAAAATGTGATTCATATTCTGGTCAAAGTTATATTTGTATTAACTGCAAAATGGAAATTGAAGACTAACATAGAATGCTCGTGGCGGGATAGCTCAGATGGTTAGAAAATTTAAACCCCGGACTGTTAAACGATACTAGTTCTAATCCCGTCACCGCAATAATTTGTTAAAATTGAAAGTATCTATTTAATTTATAAGGAAGTTTTGTTTTGGTTTTATAACAGTGTTAATAGTTGTCACTGAAATGCATTTATTTTTTTATTGCTCAACTTACCCCACGCAATTGCTTAACTTACCCCGCTGGGGTAGGTTGAGCAGGCTTATAAACTTTAGACAATATTTTCTAAAATAATTCGAAAAAAGTTTTTTTTCTCAACCAATTTTTAGCAAATCAAATTATCTTTTAATAGTGAAAAAATTATATTAATCGGATGTACCGTTCAAGAGATCTGTTAGATTTAGTAAAAATTGCCCAACTAGCCCCGCCCTACCCTACACGATAAAATATAACAAAACTCTATCAAATAAAACAATTCAACGAGTTTTTCATTCATTGTTTTTAAAAAAAGTTCAAAACCCAAAAATTCTAAATTAAAAAAAGAAAAACTTTTAAAAATAATAAATAATTAAAAATAAGTCTAAACAGCAGACTCTAAGCGGTTAAATTTCTTTTTGAATCTATGATAATGCTGAAGTTATTAACAAATTGTTGACTAACATTTTTTATATTTGTGTGAAGATAAATTTTAGTTTTATCCTTATTTTGTAACGTTTTCGGCCTGTTCTATTTTGGTACACGTTTTTCACTTGATAATTTAATTTAATATTTCTCCTCAAAGTTTTGTTACGCTTAACGTATTATAAATTAAACCATTTAAAAATTTATCTTATGTTAAAAAAGTTTAAAACATATGCTACAGTTAAAAAAATTATGTTTATAAATTGTTCAAATAATTTATTGTACAATTTCATTTGTGATAAAATTTTATTAAAAGTTTGTTAACGCGGAACGTTTTCACGCAAAAAAAAAATCTATAAAAAAGTTTTTTTTCGGTTCCAAAAATTTAACGAGACACTAAGAAAATATTTCATAAAAACTCTATGAATTGAAAATATTAAAACTCGTATATCTTTGGAACTAAATAAGCTACAGAAGTGGTCGAAACCTTTTTGGAAATGAAATATATTAAGGAATCCAATGCAATTAAAATGAAAAGTATTTTCATTCGCTATAAAAATTGAACTACCTACGTGTAAAAACTTTAATAGTTTTGTTTTGAGATGTTAGAAATTTTTCGTATTTTTTCATTTAATTTTTATAAATGAGTTATTGATTAAAATATAAAGCTAAGAGTATAAATCAATATTTTGTTATATTTATGTATATCTGATGATTATTATATTATTATATGTATTGCAGGTATATAATTGTGCATTTCTTAATTTTATAAAGAATGTAGCATAAAAAATGTACCTTAAACGATTTTTGTGAGGGTGCGGTTGTGCCTCACCATTGGGGCAAAACCATTTTTTTCACTAAGTGTACTTTTTGTATAATAACACTTTCAAAAGTTTTGTTTTTTTCCTAATTGCTGCAATTTAAAGCAATTTAATTTGGTTATTTAAATAAACTGTAAAAAAGACACATTTCGCTTTTATTTTCATATAACACCAACCCAAACGTTACGGGGGCGGTTATGCCCCAACTTCCCTTACTATGAATAAAAACATACCAAAAGTGCATAAAGATTTTTAATAATTTGTTACTACGAAAATATAATAACTCTAACATAACGGTGCTGTGTACTATTAAAATGTTATGAATATTTTTAACATGCCTAGAATATTGCAATTTGTTTTTTTTTATTAAACGCTTTCACTGCATTTTTCTTAGCAGCTTTTTATGACTTCTACTTTCCAGAAATCTGCAGCCAACCTAAGATACAGAACAACATGACTTTTTCGGTTCTTTCTGATTGATTTCATTGATTTTTTACTTGTTGATAATAATGGTAGATTTGAAACTTCTCCTGAAATCATTTTTTCTATTAAAACAATTTTTTGCCCACTCTTTCAATCAAGCGGGACATCTTGTTTATAAATCATTTTTTACGTCATCTACATTATACCTTGAAAAATCTTGTCAAATCATACTTAAACAATTAAGAAATAAGAGAGGAAAATATATAAGAATGTAGGTTAAAGCAATAATAAAAGAAGAAAATATATAAGAATATAGGTTAAAGCAACAATGTTTTTTTGCTTGAAACAAAATAACGAGTAAGATTTTTATTTATTGCTGTTATTGTTTTTGTATTTAGCTGATTTTTTATTTTTTATTTTTTTACTATGTATTTCAAAAAATGCATGGTGTACTCCAGTTTTCAAATCACCAAAAAACCTTCGACAATAAAATATTCAAAAAAACAAGCCTCGTCTTCCCAACAACTCTTATCATGGAGTCTACAAACTGGAGTGTTCGTGAAGAAAATTCTATGTAGATGAAACAAAACTCAAGGTTTCAACACGAATTTGGCAACATCAAAAACATACTTTTGAGGAAAAATAAAAACATTCGGCCGTGGCGGGGCATTCCAGAAATTGCCATGGTGCTTTTGGCTGGAATAAAATAACAAGGTTAAAGTAGAGGCACTTTTTTTAAAGAAAAGTGTGAGTGTTTTGAAATACAGAATAACCAATGTTCTCCAAATGAAAGTGGTTTAAATGAAGATGACTGTGGTTACGTCACATCGTCGTTTTGGAAACCTTTTTTTTTTTTATTCAAGACTCAAGAACACATTACATTGCGTTTTATTATTTGTTTGTTTTTTAACTGTTTTTTTATATTACTTGAATAACAAGGGTATATATAACCCCTAGAAATATTGTATTAGATAATAAAGAATTTTATAAAGATAAGTTTATATACTATAAACAGATGTTTTAACTTAAATTCATTATGTAAAAACTTGATGTAAACTTTTAAAAATTACAATGTATTTAAAATACAATAAAATCAGGTAAGTTCGGTCACCCTGTAACTTCGGTCATTTAGAAAATCTTTTTTTTCTCCAAAACATGTTAACAATTTGTATGTGCGTAAGAATCGTCAAAAAAATAACTTTTATTTTAAATCTGCTTAAATAATTCGTTAGCAAAACGAAAGTTTTACAATGCGTCACTAAAAGATAAAATTAGCACGAATGTCGTAAAACGTTTATTGTAAAAAATGTACGTGAACCAATTATAAAAAAATTTTTTTTTTGAATTATTTGAATGCTTCGCGCTAAAATAAATCGTTTGCGGTTGTTGGTAAAATGCGAACTTTTTTCCGAACTAAAACATATTTTAAAGACATTGTTATGATAAGAATAATAACAAAAAAACTCTCCAAATCTTAATTATCTATTTTAAAACCTTATTTTATTAAAATTTTTATTTTTTAACTGTAAAACATGCGCGAAGTGTTGGTAAATTGATTATCTTATAGCCTGATTCGCAACGGAGTGTTGCAACATCGACTATCTTATAGCCTGACTTGCATTGGAATGCTGCTTCATCGACTATCTTATAGCCTGACTCGCAACGGAGTGCTGCTAAATCGACTGAGGGTTTGGTTTGGGCAGGCAGTCTATTAAATAATTAGAAAAAAAAAATTTATATTGTATTTGTCTAGTTTCACTTAATTTCCTTTTATTTATGTTTAAATAATTTTTTCGCTAAAAAATCTTTAAAATATGCCGCTAGATAAGCTATTTAACGAAAATAAAACATTACATCATTAACAACCAATAGGACGATGGTTCGCAAAAAAGTTTGCGTTTTAGCAGTTCGCAGTTAGCGGTTCGCAGTTCGCATTTTACCTAGTACTATCGTTTGCGTATAAAAACTTTAAAATCGTATATAAAGTTTCAAATAAACGAACGCTATAATGATAAAATTTACATTAGTATATGTAAATAAACTTGTTTGCTTAAAATAAATTTTGATTTTAGTTTTTTAACAAACTTTTTATATCGAAGTTGTCAGTTTAGAAAAAAAAATTCTTTTGATTTTGTCTCATAATTTTATCATAAAATAACATTAGAAAACTAGTTTTTTAATGTTATTTTATGATAAAATTATGGTAAATTATAAAAAAATTTTGATTTTAAGTTTGTGATATTGTGATATGTTATTTGCACTGTGATATTTGGATGTTAAGTTTGCACAAACTCTTCTATTCAATTTTTATATCGCAATTGCGTTTTTGAGATATAAAAACTGTTATTGTGATGTTAAAAATGTGTTTTAGGATATTAAATTTGTAATATTGAGTTATGTTGATTGGAATGTATATAGTAACGGAAATTGTGAGATGGTTTGGAAAATTCGGCCACCTAGCCGTTCTCATTTAAAATAAAATGTCAAACGCCAGTTTTTCGTTTAATTATTTTATTTTTACAATATAAATTAATAATATAGTTGTCTGTATAAAAAATCAAAAAACGTTTACTAATGCGTGAGATATAAATGTTCAAAGCGTAAGTGACCGATTTTTGGT